AATGCTATACATGCTTGGTGATGGCTATGGGATGTTATTATATGCCTCATGATGTAGTTAACATTTTAATTCTTATGAGATGTATCATATGCTTATATGACATAGTTAGCATTATGATGAAATGAACTGCAAGCGTACATTCTATTACATATGCACTGGTTGCACTACATTCATAGGTATTGGCATGAGTGTGAGTGTATATATGGATTGGGTCAATCACCACATGGTGAGTTGATTGGTGGGCTTGGAAAAATAGACAAACGTCTAATTGAGTTGCACAGAATATTGCATGGAAAATGTGTTGGTTATAGCAAGAAGGGGTAGGTTCTCCCCTCGGTGGAAGGCCTCTTAGTTCACACACTTGTCCGGAGGTAAAATTTCAAAAAAGTGTATCAGTGTACTCGGAACCGGAGGTGAGATGCCCTCAAATGCTGTGTCGATTCGGTAGCCTGTTGGGGTGATATCTATAAATTGCCTACCTAAGAAAAACACAAGAATTGAAAAATGGTCATTGGACGCTTAACATCAATGACAGGAGCTTAGAATGCTCAGTTCATGTCATGATATTATATCATGTGTCATGCATGGGAATCCGTGAGGGAGTTCGGTATTGGACATGCATTCATGAAGTATTATTCATGTTTGGCATGCATGGTGGCATTCATATGTTACTTGAGATATATGTTTGGTGTGTTTGGTGCACAATCATGTCATATGCATTGAGATTGAGAGGTATGTTGTGGCTCTTGTTATGGATTTTGCAGCCCCCTTGTGTACATCTATATTTCGGCCTTGTTTAAATCCAAGTACAAAACTTGCATTTTGTTAAAGGCTTGTAATGGGACTTTATATATGAAAATTTATTCTTTTAATGAATGGATGTTGTATAATGATAGTTGTGGATGAATAGTTAATAATTAATACTTAGACATTGGAATGTCGGACCTTAAAATGCTCATATGGGTGTTGTATGTACAGGTTGTGTATTGGACAGAGCTCCCCGTACAAAAGAGACTCTTCCTAAATTTTGTTTAATTATGGATCCCGATAAATGGGGCATAAAAATGTGGTATCGGATCGGGTATTTCGCGGATAGATGGGTGATTAACGGGTTGAACGAGACCCTAGAAATTGAGGCGACACAACTTGATATTAGAGCCTAGATTTTCGATTTCCTTAGGACTTGAGGGTAGCTTGGGTTAGACCATTACATCCATGTGCATTACATATTATATGTTAGGTGCTAAGTATGTGAATATATGTGTGTTTATAAGGAACAGGGAAAACCTAGGTAGAATTATAGTCTAAAGGTTGGAAAGGAAAACAAAAAGAAAACATGGAAGAATTGGGTGGAAACAGTCTACCGGTAGAAAACTTTTTGTTTTGGAACCTACCACCTACCGTTAGAGTTGCATTCTATTTTGGTCCTACTAGTAGGTAGACATCAACCTACCAGCAGAACAACATTTTGTTTTGAACCTATCGATAGGTGGAATTACCTAATAGTAGGTCAACAACACAGCAATTTTTCCCAACTTCGAATGGCCATAACTTTTACTACCGAAGTCGGAATTAAGCAAATAAACTATCGTTGGAAAGATTAGGATGTCTACTTTCAATTGAAATAGATTTGAGCCCAAAATTCTTACTATCCTAAGAGAGATGACAAAAAGAGTAAGGGTGTATCATGGTATTAACTTGAAACCAACTCGCATGTTCTTTTTACGGCGTCATGACATTGTTGTGATATGTTCTAAGATGCTTTGACGTTGTCAATGGTCCATAATACTAAATTAGGTCTATTACAATCTTGTATGTTTTAGATGGCAACTAGAGGTTGGGGATGTCGACCTAGTTGAGGGAGTGGTTGGAATAACCAACCACCGCCATCACTCGTCTACGATCAAGAGGTATTCACGAATGTCATGACTGCCATGACGGCTACTTTTGCACAAACTAGCGCCAACATAAGTCAACGAGGCTCGAGCAACCTCCAAAAATTCAAGGCACACAAGCCAGCTACATTTCTGGGAGAAGCGGATCAGAAGATTGTCGACCACTGGTTCAAATTCCAACAAGTGGATAAGGTCTTGGAGGCTATAAAGATCAAATCCGATGCCAATAAGATAAGGCTGGCAACTTTTCACCTTGAGGAAGAGGCCCATCAATGGTGTAGATGAGCAAGTACCTCGAGAGACATCGAGACAATGACATGGGAAGAGTTCCAAGAACTCTTTATGAATAAGTATTTCCCTTCTGCTCTTCGGCAAGTGAAAGTTCGGGAATTCCTAGACCTAAAGTAGGAGACTATAACAGTGATGCAATATGTGGCGAAATTTATGGAACTAGCCATTTTGTAGATGATTGCATGGCTAGACTTTGCCAAAGTAAGGTAATTTGAGGATGGCTTAAAGTTGTCCATCCGGGGCAAGATTGTGGGTCATCGCCCACAAGACCTAGATTCAATGGTAGAGATAGTCATGGCTATTGAGAGGGAGGTAGATAACACTAAGAGCATCCAGGAGGCCGGTACTAAGTACAATAAACAAAAAGGGTCAATCCTCCAACACAAGTTCGGCAAGAAACAAAAGACCTCTACAACACAAGGGTCTCAGAGGCAAGGCCGGAGTTATCAAGGCCAAAGTCAAGTTTCCTAAGGAAGAACTTCAAGGGAACATATTAGGAAGACCAAAATACATGTTACTTGTGTCGCCAGACGGGCCACTTGAATAAGGATTGCCCTCTCGGGCAAGAATCCCAAAGTTACGGGGCTACAAACATATTTTTCTCCTCCTTACCCTACCTTGGGCCAGGGGAATCAGTATCAACCTCAAGGCACTGAGCAAGCTCCAACTACACGTTTGCGGGGACTCCACAATCAGACCAAATGGACCAGGGTGTATGTCGAGGATGGGGACAAGGCTATCAAGCCAGTACTTCAAAGACCCAAGAACGAGTCTTCGCCATCACTTCTCATATTGAATTAGTGGATCAATTAGTGATTCAAGGTACATTTTTACTCTCTCGCTTATGGGCAAATGTGTTATTTGATTCGAGTGCATCACATTCATTCATTTCTACATCTTGTGTAAAAAATTTGGACTTAGAGGTTGAGACCTTAGAGGAGAATTCATATGTAAATTCTCCTCTAGGAGCTAGGGTTTGTATTGACAAGGTATATCAGAGTTGAGTTAGAGATCTCCGGGATTCAACTCACGGTGGACCTTAAGGTCAAATATGTCGGAATTCGATGTTATCCTTGGGATGGATTGACTAAGGACACATCGGGTGGTTATTGATTATGATCAAAAGTTAGTCATTGCCTACACTTCGGAGGGGATTAGTTTTAAATTTCAGGGAGAAAAGTACAATACTTTACCCCAGGCTGTATATGACTCCCGTTGGCACAGGCAGTAGATAGGTTAGCTTGCGAGCCTTACCCATGACGACGAGGCGAGAAAATTTGGGACCACCTTGGGTAGTTTGCGAATATGCGGATGTCTTCCCAAACGAGTTACCGAGATTTACTCCACATCGGGATGTTGACTTCTCCATTGAGTAACAACCCGGTATATCCCCTATCTTTATGGCACCGACAGGATTACAAGATTTGTTGGACAAAAGTTTTATTGGTCCTTCAATTTAAGTCACCCATTGAGTATCTTTCTAAAATTTATTCTATTCCTTCAATTTATTTCTTTCCTTCTAAGGTCTTTGGGTGTGTTTGTTTTGTACATGATTACAAATCCTCTAAAGGGAAACTTGACTCCAAGGCCTATGGTGTGTTTTATTCGTTACTCTCCAACCAAAAAGGATATAAATGCTATCATCTTGTAACTCAAAAGCTGTTTGTTAGTATGGATGTTACTTTCCGTGAAACTGAGTCATTTTTTCCTAGTTTCCAGTCATCTCTTCAGGGGGATAACACTACCATTGGGGAAGGATGGTTTATCAAGAACCCTTTCTTCAATTACCTGTTCAATGGAATATTGGTAAGGGGGAGCAACAACTTATGGAGGAAAAAATTGATACTAGTAGTCCATCTGGTACTCACTTTGACAAAAATAACCTGAAGACTTATTCTCGGTGTCAAAAGGTACAAGGACAGACTACACTTGTGCCACTGAGTCAATTGAATTCTCCACCTCCGGTTCAAACACTTTATTTATCAGGTAATGAGCTTTCAAATGTTGCTCCTATTGATAATATTGTTGTTGATGATTCCGAGCTTCCTATTTAAGTCAAAAAGGGCATTAGAACTTGTACTCGATAGTCGACACCCCATCTCTAACTTTATATCTTATGATTCCTTATCCACATCATATCGTTCTTTTGTTTCCTCCTTGTCTTTTGCATCTATTGCTCAGGGTTGGAAAAAAGCTTTCACTGATCCTGAGTGGAAAGAAGCTATGGTAAAGAAAATAAAAGCCTTGAAAAAGAACGACAAGTGGCAACTAGGTTCTCTTCCTAATGGAGCAAGGGTAGTAGGGTGCAAATGGCTATTCACTATCAAACATCAAGCCTATGAGACAATTGAGAAGTACAAAGCAAGATTGATTGTTATGGGCTTCACCCAGACCTAAGGCATTGATTATCAGGAGAATTTTGTCTCTGTGGTAAAGATGAACTCCATACATGCTCTTCTTTCATATGCAGCTAATCCGGGTTGGAGTCTACAACATTTGGACATGAAAAATGCTTTTCTCCATGAAGTTTTGGAAGAAGTGTATATGAAAATCCCACCTGGTTTTTAATCCCAGTTAACCGAAGGAAAGGTATGTAAGTTAAAAAAGTCTCTTTATGGGCTAAAGCAATCTCCCAGAGCTCGCCTTGATAGGTTTCTCAAAGTCATGCTTAAATTTTGATATAAACAGAACCATGCAAATCATTCTATGTTCATCATACACGTTGATGATAAGATAATTATTATGATTGTGTATGTGGATGACATAGTAATAACTCAGAATTATATGCAAACAGTAGCCAAACTTAAAACTCAGTTGGCTAAGGAGTTTGAAATCAAAAACTTGGTTCTATTGAAATACTTTCTTGGAATTGTGGTTGCTAGATTAGATAAAGGTATTTTTATCTCCCAGAGAAATTATGTACTTAACCTTCTTGAAGAAACAGGCATATTGGAATTTAAATCTACAGATTATCCCATTGAAGTCATTCATCAATTAAGTAATGAAGTTAGTGACGTAGTTGATAAGGAGAGACATCTAATATTAGTGGGGAGATTGATATATCTCTCTCGTAGTTGTCCAAATATTGCTTATGTAGTGGGTATTGTCAGCCAGTTCATGCATGATCGTCAAACTCCTTATCTTGAAACTGTTTATTGTATTTCGAAGTATCTCAAGTCAACTCCAAGAAAAGGGATTCTATCCTCCAAACATGACATTTGAAGTTAGAAGCATTTATCAATGTAGACTAGGTAGGTTTTGTGGATGATGGGCAAAGAGTACTTAAAGCCACTACACTTTGATAGGAGGAAACCTTGTTCCTTGACGAAGCAAAAAACCTTGTTATGAGACTATACTATGATAATAAGGTTGTTATCAATATTCTCATAATCCAGTTCAACATGATAAAACCAAACATGTTGAGATTGACCGACACTTTATCAAAGAGTTGAACAATGATTTGATTTGCATGCCTTTTCTGAAATCGGAGAATGAATTGGTTATGTTTTCACCAAGGGACTTAGTAGCGAGATTTTGCATATGCACCATTTTGAAGGAGAGTGTTAGTTATTGTTAGTTATGCTTTATTTTTAACTTGAGGGTATTCTTGTACTTTCAGCTTATATATATAAGTTGGGGTGTAGTATACCTTAACACACTACATTTTACAGTTGTTTGTCTATTCTTCTCTTATTATCTCTTCCCTTTCCAAACTCTAATTAAAACTTCATATTCTAAATGTAATCATAAATAGCTAATTTTTTTATGAATTTTAGACCAAGCTTTTGAGTTTACAATTGGTGGGATAAAAACAAGCATAATTGTCTATGTAAGCATACATCAATTGACATATGGCCAGGTACATAGAGTCTCCCTAGAGCTTTAAACACGCTCTTTGAAACTTGTAAGCATACCTTATTGGGCACGAAAAAACTATTAAGTTCCTGCAACTACTTGTCTGGATGTCCCCTTTTAGCCTTACGCCGTGCATGGTTTGAATTACCATTTCGATTGGGGTTCTTCGCCTTTTGACTGCAATGTATAAAGGGGAAAAAGACAGGAACTTTAAATATTTAGTGGAATACGAGAAGAGCATTAAAAATACAATATAAATATATTTTTCACTTTTTTTCTGCTATGAAGATAGAACTATTAGAGATATAAAATAACATAGAACAAACGAACCAGAAGATGGCAGAACAAATTCTTGACAGAATGATGATGGGCAGAGCTAACAAAGCAGAGGCCTACAACAATAACTTCAGATAATGTACACCAAATGGCAGGTAAACTGAAAATTGATAAAAGAATCATGGATTAGACAAAACCACAAAATCATTCAATGGATACATACGGCAAACCACACCAACTCCTTTGTAGCAAGAGGCCTTGTGAGCTCATGCTTTTTGAGTGTTTCTTGGACAGTGCCTTGAACCTTCACAGAAAACAGCATAGTACAGTAAGGTATTGAAAATCCAGATGCAATTCATAGTTTAGAAAACATATGTGAAGATCCAGAGAAAACATCACCCCCAAGAAACAATGCTTTAACAGGATATGTCAAAAGCCTGATGGTGTTTCTCACATGTCCATTTATTGATACAATCCATGCACACGCGAGGTTACTAGAAACACAAGTAGCTATTCCTGAATGTGTATCCTCGAAAAAACCAACCAATTATCCGACTGCAAACCTTTTTTTCGCGATTTACAATAGATATTTGCATATCATGAAAATCATAAAAAAATTAAAATTAAAAACAACATAAAATAAAAGAAAAGAAATAGATCGCATACTGAATATTGACAATATTGCATAGAAACTTCTTTCCAGGGTGTCAGCAGCCAGGTCATCCCCAAATTACCAACTCAAGTAAACTATTTAAATTCTCATCCCTCCCCCTCTCTCCCATGGTTATCACTATCGTTGAAGTCTAAATGTCATTAACCACGATGAAGGATGAAAAACCTGGTACCACCGTGCTGGCTATTGTGATGAGACCAAAACTACATGGCTCCAGAAAATCCAAGAGAATGAAGTTATAAAGTGGTGCTTGTTATATAAAAATTTAAAGGAGGATGTCGTTAGGCATTGCGATGGATGACTTTTCATTTCTGCATTGTTTATTCTCCTCCGCTCTCAAATATCAAAAGGAGGTTTTCTAGAGTAACCTTCCACAGTCCTATCTAAACCTTGCCCCACCAGCTATTGAACTCATGGCTGCAGGAGTAACCTTCCACATTCCTATCTAGACCTTGCCCCACCAGCTATTGAACTCATGGCTGCAGGATGAGGAAGTGGCCATTGATTTGAAAGGCACTGAACTGCATTGCAATGTTATCGTGGAATGGTACCAAACAATACGAACAAAATACTAGATAGAAGACCCAAAAAGTTCTGAAAATTGCTGAAAATTCTATATAAGTATCTATGGATCAGACATTCAAAATACACCATCTAAAATGAAATGCAAAGCTGCTATCGAAAATATTCATCATCATTATCCAAAATATAAGCAATGCACAATTCAAGAAATACATATATAATAACATAAGCATTTAAGAACATATAGTGTCATATGTGCTACCTCTACTTTTCCACAAATTTTCATTTATAATTTTGTCATTTTCAGTTTTACCACAAATCCATCTTGACATTCTCATTTCTCCCCCACTCAATTTTTGAACATTTTGTCTCTTAGTTGCTCAACTCAGTACCATAAGCATTGCAGGTCTTGTGGTTGTATTAGCTTAGATGGTATGCGCATGTCGCATAATGCACCAATACATCCTCCATTTAGTCCATCCTGCTTTAATTCAAAGAATAACATCATCACCAATCTCACACTCCCAATGTATAATTTACCCAAGTATTAAAAGTGTTCATCTTCGGTATCTCTTAAACTTAAATCTTTACTACTTCCCAATTTGATTCTTTCTTTGCTAAAATTACATTCCATATCTTTTGTTTTGGTAGGGTAATCCTATAATTATCCATAATATCAGTTTATTATAAATAAGAAGGTGAAGGGCAACACAACCTACACACAGATTATTATCTTCTCTCATTCTCTTCCTCTCTCGTATCTTATTCTCTTCTAACTTAATATTGTAGCTTTTACTTCTTAATGTGGTATCAGAGAATCAATTCTAGTTTTTTTTCCATCAAGTGTCATTGATTCTAGTTTGATTATATGGTTGATGATGAACTTAGAGATCAATGAACAATGTCACGAGTGAACAGTACCCGATGAACAATAACTTCATGAATAGTGGCTCATGAATTGTAGACGCACGTCGTTGTTTGGTTTTTCTGCACCGAAATTGCAACTAGTAATCTCAACCATTTAGGCGTGAATTTCGTGATTTTTTGGTGCCAGATCACTATGTCGGTGGTGATTTTCATGTTAATATAGTTTCAATCCACACCAGATAGGTGGGATTAGATTCCAGGAAGTGGGATTTGTGATGCCTAGAGTTTGTTGCCGGTTTCGAAGTGCTTTCTATGAATTTTGACATGATATGTGAGTTTTTTGTGTCTGGATACTGTTCCAGCATTGAGCAGTGGTCGAGGCTACTCCAGGTTGCTCTAGTGTGTTGATGTTTTACCCTATTTTTGGCTTTTGGATTGTGGGTTCTTAGATTTGGTTGAGGATCTGTGGTGGGTTCGCTTCAGCACACTACTTTGCTAAGTTTGATCAAATCATTTGTTAATATCTGGTTGTGAATTGAATTATTGAAACCTTTGGTTCAGTTTTGGGAATTGTCTTGGTACTTTCTATTTGGTTGTTTGTGGTTTGAATTTTTGGTTCGACACTACATATTAATTGTGAGTTTTCCGATGACAACTTTGAATGGAAGTAATGGTGGTGTTCGTGGTGGCGGCCGTGATCTATCCCATAATACCAGTCGTGGTAGTCTATGCACATGACATAATGAAAGTGATGGTCGTTCGGGTCGAGTTATCGCCCGAGTGGAAATATACTTATTGCAGTGGGACAAGACATATTGAGAATTATTGTTGGGATAATTATGAGAGACCAACATATGCTAATCAGGCTTGTAATGATACTTCGGGCTCTCTAGTACATCAGACTTCTACCAATAGTCTAGTTTCATCTACTAGTGATTCTCATGATGATCTTTCTTCTTCGTCAACTTATCCAACAGTTATCTTCATTTTATTCACATTTATCTGTTCTCACTACGGTCTTACTAATGGAGGTAACAATGCATGTGTACTTGTTTAACCTTTCTTTGTCATCTTGAATCATTAATTCAAGAGCTAGTGCTCATATGTTTGGTGATTTCTATCCTACCAAGTCTATGTCATCAACCTCTAGTTTATTTTTTTTCCCTTTAACTTGTTATTTGTTAGTTAATTAAGTCATTACAGTGTTTAGTAATGTTCCTTCCATCTTCTTGTGTTTTTCAGTGCTTCAAGACGAAAAAGGTGATTGGCTTGGGGCACGAGTGCAATGAACTTTACTACTTAGATCCTAGTGGTTTTATTTCTGCCTTGAGTGCTACCATGTCTCCTCTTTAGTGACACTTCTGATTGGGTCATCCCTCCTTGTAAAAGTAGAGTCAAGTTATCTTATTAATCACATGTCTTCCCCCATTTTGGACAAATCTCCTTTCTCATTGCTCTATCTTGATAAAAATCATTTGGTCTCACTCCTCGTGCCTTCAGTTATGTTGCATTTATTCATCTTCTTGATCCAAGTCGGCATAGACTTTCACTTCACTTGGTCAAGTGTGTTTTTTATGAGATATTCTTGTACTCAGAAAGGTTATCGTTTCTATGACCCTATTTCTCGTCGATACTATGTTAGTGCTAATGTTACCTTTTTTTTTTTTGTGTATCACAACATACTTTTTCTCCAGATTTAGTCTCATAGTTCAAGGTCACGGTATTGACATCGACTCAAAGAGGTCTAAGACACATTAGCAGCAACGTCGCGACACGGTATCGAGCGATACAACCTAAAAGAAAATGTTGAACAATATGAGATATGCAAGTTATATCACGACATCGCGGAGCTGTATCGACCGATTCGATGATAATAACTCGGCTACTTGAGATTGACTTAGAGACAAACTCAGTCGAGGCGTGCAAGACTCGAGATTTTTACATGTTGTGTGTAACGGTATCGTCTCAAAAGGTGTCAAGTCGAATACAACTCAGTCTGAATCATGTTTAGTCTTTCATAAGGGAAGCTCTTATTGCCTATTGTACCAGACTACATATCTTTTTCCTCCCCAATTACTACTTTACCCTAGCAGATTTATCGTCTTTCCAAGGACAAACAAGTTATTCCATATGCTACAGTCTATGAAGTACGGATACTTCGTTGAAGTTGACGTATTCGTATTGGATACTGTATTAGATACAATACTCATCAGATACTCGATGATATATATCGGATACACCTTCTATGTATCTAATAATAATTAAATATTAGGATTCTTTATTGATACTTTTGTGGTCGAGCAACATATATAATTTTTGAGTTGAATTTTTAACATCTCTTTTCGAATTCACATACCATACAATACATTAACAAAAATCATATTACCTCAAAAGCACATGAGTATTTTTTAAGTATTATTTACAATTACATGTCAAAAGAGCATAAAATAAAGTTATTACATTATAATCTTAGCAAAAATTACTTCTAAATATTAGGTAAATATTAGCTTTTATTTCTTTAATTAGTCACTTCACTTTGTGAATATACCATGCGATATATATTTTCTTAAAACTAAAAAGAATTATAAATTTTCCTTATGGTGTGTTAAAGAATTACCTAAATATATAAGTATTAACCTAGTTGAAAATAATAAAAATATTAAATATATTTTATTATAGGCGTATCTTGGCCGTACTCATCCTACTTTTTTAGATTTTGTCGTATAACCATATTTGTATCGTATCGTATCTGTATCTCATATCCGTGTGTCATAGGCTACAATAATTGATTCTACTAAGGTCTTGCCCTCTAAACTGTCACCTAGTTTATCCTCTTCTAATTTGTCTATTGCATTGAAGAAAGGTACCCGTAACTGTACTAAGCATCTCATTTCCACTTTTGTTTCTTTGAATTAACTTTCTTCATCATTTCATTGTTTTGATTTGACTTTCTCTTCTATTATGTTTATTTCTAACTTCTTGAAACAGGCAATAGCATCTCTTGGTTGAAAATTACCTATACATGAGAAAATGAAAGCCTTTTATGAGAATCGAACAAACGACCTTACTACTCTTTCTTCTGGTAAGCAGTCTGTCAATTATCGTTGGGTCTACAAGATGAAATATCATTATGATGGTTTGATTGAGCATTTCAAGGCACGTTTGGTTGCCAGAGGCTACATCCACACATATAATGTGAATTACTATAAGATTTTTCTCCCTTTTGCTTGTCATAACTTTATTAGAATTCTTCTTTCTAAGCAGTTAGTTATAATTGGACTTTGTATCAACTAGACATCAAGAATGTCTTTTTACATGGTAACCTACACTAGGTTATGTCGCATCCATAGTTATCAAAATCGTATGATTCACTATTTAAATTGTACGATTTGGTTCGATATAGGCACAAAACGATTCGTATCTTAAATAAGAATTATTTTTAACGTTGAATCGCACATGAATCGTACGATTCGATACATCGCACAATTTGGTCACTTTTTTTAAAAACCCAAACTTTTGGTAACGTTTTGTTTGTAGAGGAGCCCATGCCCTAATAAAAATTCAGCCACTTTGCTTGTTCCCTCACGTTGTCTAAAGCTCACCTCACATTGTTCGGAGCTGAAAGTCACGGCTAAAGCTCTCGCATCTCTTCTTCTTTTTCCTAGCATGCCATTTTCCTCCTCCTTTTTTTACATTGAATTTTTCTATCTTGTGTCACCATATTTCAGAATAAACTTTGATTTTTTCTCTCAATTCTTTCATGGACAGTTTGTTAAGTTCTAATTTTTTGTTTCAAAATGTTTGCCCATATATTTTCTCCCAATCAATTTTCTTATTTGTTCTTTCTTTATTCATGTTTGTAATATATTTTGTACTAGGTGTCACTATTTTGGTTCTTTAATAACCATGGTTCTTAAATGATTTTGTTTTCAAATTGTTGAATTTGAAAATGGTTAAAAAAATATGAGAATGAAGCAAAAGGCTAACGTCTTTCCATTTAGACAATATGATTGAGTCAATTGATTATTTTCAGAACACAGTAACATTTAATATTCAATATCTTGCCTATTTTAAATATGTGGATATTATTTTTTAATTTTTATTCAAATTTTATGTCGAATATGATGATTCACGACTGTCAAATTTAGAATTCCGATTAACGATACAAGTCGCGATTTGACAACTATGGTCGCATCTAGCAAGGAAAATATACTACATGGTCTGAAATAATCACCACATGCTTTGTTTGATAAGTTCAGTATTGTTGTACTTAAGTATGGTTTTCAACGCTCTACCTCATACCATTAAGTTTTTATTCATTGTTCTTTCACAGGTGTTATTATTCTTATTGTGTATATTGATGACATTATCATCAGTGGTAATGATGACTCAAATAGCATTGTCCAATTTCTACCTCATTTAGAAAGAATTCCAAATCTCCAATGTCAGCATATTTTAAGAATAAGAACGTCTTGAATGGTCAATTTGAATGGTGGGATGTTCCACGAATGCATCTTTGTGAATTTGAAATTATGAGTATAAACAAAGAAACTGATGCACGTCTAGTAATTTTTGGAAATGCCCAACATTAGGAACGAACCGAAACCCAAGACATACAAATTTGGCTGAAGCCAATGCATGTACAATGGATGTGAAGTGTTATATCGTCTTACAAACACTGAATGAAACGTGAATTACAAGTTTGATTTGAAGCCATGTAAGTACATTTCATATCACTATATGGAAATTCCTACTAAAAAAAGACTATCCTAAGATTCTGGAAAGAATGGGGGGGTTAATGTAAGTAAATTTGAATGACAGGTGCTTTTAGCTAAATTTATGCGAGCTTTCATTTCCTCATTTTATAAAACTTTTACTTCTTATAAGGATATGATTGTGTAGTTCAAGCTAACTAGAAAAAAGAACAGTTACGAAGCTTCAGAGTCATTTACAGAAGTTCTCAAATCCGTTCAAGCAGTAATGAGGTATGTGCCTGCCTACAACCAAGCTTCACAATGGAAAATTTCTCTCAAAGAGGAGCATGGAAGAAAATTTAATGAAAAACCAGAATTTACAAAAATATAGCAGTAATCGAACAGTATTATGCATATTATACCTGGTGATGGTACACAGTTGCAGATTCAAGGAACTTCCCATAAGCATGAACAACCTTTTTTGAATAAGGCTTCAAAGCACCCTGAAGCTTCTGAACATGAGGTTTTGTTGCAGTCGCAACCTGATCAATGTATGGCTTGCTGAATTTCTTAATTTCCTGCCACCAAATTTGGGTCACTTGAGGATACATAACCGTAGTGCAGGTAAACGATGAGGTAAATTAAAATAATATATACCTGCAAGTAAGGATCAACAAGTTCCTGTATTTTGATTACATGTGGAGTTACAGCACTCTTAGATGTCTTGTAAACCTCAAGGGTTTTTGCAGTTAATGATTGCACATGTGGCTCAGCTTTAGTGATTATCATTAACCACTGTTCCTTTACGGCTGGGATCCATTTCTTCAATTGATAGGCAGAGAAACAAAAGCAAAATATTAGATGATCCAACATAGTCGAAAATCCTATTGACAAGACTTTTAAAAACATCGTGTAACCACCAGTGAAGTTTACTGCACCACAAGCAACCCATGCATAACCCAACACCCAACCCAGGGGCACGCCTGAACTAAGGTTTTACAAATAGGATTAGGTTTTGGGTGAAAAATATCACCTCTTGGTTCAGTTGTTGCGGTTTAGTTGATGCCTTGGGCAAACTAGCTGCCTCCTCCTCGGATAAACCTCTTGTATATATTTCCATCACTTTCTTTTGTATCTCTACTTTCATAGGCCAAAAAAATTACACTGGACCCAAATCTAATTTGCATTAGAAGAGTTAAACGTATTCCAGTTAGTATGTGTTGTACCCGATCTTGATGTATGTAAAGTGATGCATAGGACTAATAATTGAAGTGAAGAATCTCAAAATCAATCATTTCAGATGATTCCCAATTTGACATTATGTGACTCAAGTTTGTTCCCTATTTCATTTCGGTATAAAATTTGTCCTAGGAGTGTCTTCCAGCATTTTTAGGGAATTCCACTTTTTGGAATCATGGCTGGATGGAGAGCCTTTGTGATTTATAGTCTCCTTTCAAATGATAGGCTACAGGCTAGTATGTTATGTTCTTTGATTTTTCTTTTTTCATTTGTGCTCTTGTTTTATGAGGTTGGGCTTCTTGTCCACTCTTTTTGACTGATGTACTAATTATTATTATTAATACAATGTTTGTTTCCTATCAATTCGCAAAAATGATCATGACTTCCCCAAGCCTAAGCAACCTGCCATTCAGACGTAGCTTGATCTTAACCAAGTAGGCAACAAAGCTTTCCGCAATCCAATCAAAACCACCAGCATGACCACAGATCCACTATCATCTTCTCTTGTAAATGTTTAATAACCCACAGCAAAAGCAGGGAAGACGCAGGAATGACGTAACCAGATTAAGGTTACTTGTGAAAAGCAACTCGATACATCAAGCATTATGTCTGTATATAATGTAAGACATTTATACCATACAAAAGTAACTAATTAGAATATGTGAAAATGGCTTACAGATTTTATTGTTTTCAAGTGGGGTTCAGCCCACTTTTCAGCCTGGGCCTTTTTCTCCATAGCCTGGAGCAAGTACAAACAAAAAACTACTCGGTTAAAAAATTATAAAGGAGATGAAATTTATATTCTTTTCGACTACTAATTAAACAATCTTTTTGGAAGAAAATGAGCACTCAAGCAATACTATGTCAGTTATGCCACACACTTCAGAAAGTACCATTTGCAATGCCGTATCAACCACAGCAGGTCTTCCATGTACTCTCCAATGTGTCTCGACAAAAGACTACAATTTAAATTATACAGTCAAAAACTCAAAAACAAAAATTCTCAGTAAATATACCACTTGCTCCCAAAATTTACCTGATAACGCATCAAATTAACCGCAAGCCAAGGTGGAAGCCATGCACCATGGACCTGATTGACGATCATAGAAAAAAGTGCATCAGAATGCAGCATCTCTCTCTCTCTCACTGAAATAATATTATAAAAAATACGAAACCTGATGACTTAATGCATCAAATGCGACTCATTGATGCACCCATTGTAGAGGTAGACTAAAACAAATTACCAACTAACTATAACCCAATCAACTAGAGCATATAAAATGTAATATAAGGAAATAGTTGCTAAATGAAGGAAAGTAATGAGGACCCTGGAATCATTTATGTGATCCTGGAATTGAATCGAATTCGAACCGGAAAATGAACCCAAATTCAACCCGAATTGTGTATAATCCTAGCTCAAACCGAATTTAGAAAATTATAGACTCGCTGTACTCGGCATAATTATCAAACCTAACCCAAATATCGAGTCTAGTCGGCAAAAGGGATCGGGTCAATGGTTCAACCATTGTGTCAAGCGGTTGGACCGATCATATAATTAATAAATAATTATTATTAATAATAATAAATACGCTAAAAATTATAATAATTATAAATATAGTGGATTTTATGTTATAATAGATCAAATAAAGACAAGCAAATATTAACAATGCATTAATTTTCTTAGACAATTTATAAAATCTAATAGAGCATTATAAAAATCAATAGATAAGTAATAACATTGAATCAAACAAAATATATATAAAATTTGGAAGAAAAAGACAAGTAACTAAGTGTTACCCCCTTAGCCGGTTGGCATGGCTATGACATGCAGCTGCCTTGCCCAAAGGTGTTCCATGCCTTGGCCAAATTGGGGTGCGCTTGGCGAAGCAACTCCTTTGTACAAAGTTGACTTCCTAAAGACTTAGATTGGGCACTTAGCTTAGTATCAAAGGTGTTCGACAAAAGTTCACGTGGCATGCAACGACTATGCCCCGAACTCTCATTGTTATGACTCCTCGGTTCAAAAGATGTTTGTTGTTGTTACAAGGGTTTTGCTCACTAAAGTTTTTATAGGAAAAAGTTGCTCCACAAAATGGGTACCAGGTTGGCTTCCCTACGGACCCCTATGCCCCTTAGCCTTGGCACACCAAAATAAGGCACAGCCTCAACAAATACTTGCCATGGGTATGGACAAAGCATTCCAAAGTCCGAGACCCGAGATGTGAGGCTGATATTCGGTGGAACCCAGCATTGATGGAAGCCCCATGCATGGCTGAGGAAGGCAGCACATGCATGGGCACGCTGGGCACATACAAGCAAGGCTAGTTGGTGAGCTCGAATTATGGTGCATTGCAAGCTTAGAAGACCAAGCCATGGGCTTGGGATGGCTTGGCATGTAGGCAAGGCAATCAAGTATTATGTGCTCAAAAGGATGGCATGTGCATGTCATGCGAGGTGGTTATGAGTAGTTGATGGCAAGTGCACCTCAGGTGAAGGGAAGTTCCAAGCCATTGCTGGCATGTGCACAACATGCAAGGCAGGTACGAGCAGTTGTTGGATGAATCTAGGGATGGCAGTGGACCAGGAAAAAACGGATATTCATCCAAACCCGTCCCGTTTGGACCGGGGATAAACTATACGTATTGGACGATGGACGTATACAGGACTACCTGTATAAACTCGTGCGGGGATGGACTTACCCTTACCCCCGCCCTGCCCCGTCCTCATTCCCGTTACCCGTTGTATATATATATATACTCTTAAAGCCCTAATTTACTCTGTTCTACCTCACTCAGTCGACTCCATCTCTCTCTCTCTCTCTCTCTTCAACACACAGTGACACTGGTCTTCAACAGCTTCCTCGCTGACCGACTGCTCGCAGATCTTCAAAACTGTCTGCTACATTCACCTGAAGTTGCTGGCATATTGTTGTTAAAATAAAATTAAGTTTTTAAAACTTTTATTGAATTTCCATTTTAATCATGTTTAAATTGTGAATTTCAGTTTACATATTTTTTAATTGACTTTAAATATTGAACTTTAGTAATTGCAGATTTTATTTCATATATTACACAACTTTAGTGGCAATTCAAATGACCCATTTAAGACATAACGGTAATATTCTAAATGTCTTTTAATTTGGCTAGTAAATTTTATTTAGACCTAGAATTTACTAATAGGTTATTTCTGTTCCTATATAAACCATTCGGTGGAGCTGTTCTAATATATATATACAAAGTCCATTCTTGAGTTTTTCTAAGTCTTCCCTATAAAGCTTTCCTAACTTTGTCGGCCTATCTTTCCAAGCTTTGTTGAGTTTCTTAACTTTCTAGATTTTGTCAAATCCATTACAATATTCACATTGACCAATTTTTTGTTATATATTTGTACAACTACAAGCACGCCATATTTTCTTGTGTTGTGGCAACTCAATTAGTGTCAAGTTCACCCTTTCCTTCCAGTGGACGTGATCATTGAGAAGGTGTTGCTGCGAGCGTCTGGGTTAGATCTTGGAGTCGCTGGTGTCCATCAGTATCCTCACATGGAGAGGCTCAGCTGTTTTAGGATAGTGATCACACGCCTCTCGGACTCACAGGCCAACTCTTTCAAAATTAATTTATTTAGTTTATATAGATTGCATGTTTATACATTTTTTGTATTTATTTAAATTGCATGTTATTTTTAATCTAACTACTGTTTGCATGCTTTATTTCAAATTTTAGATTACAACATTCATAATTATTTTTGCTCACATCATAATTCTAATAATTGTTGATTTGGCCAAAAATTCAGTAACAATTTTTCTTAATTCCAATTATAAATCTATACTTAAAATCTATAATTATTTTTACAATTGTAAGGTACATCTCACGCTTCTTGATTCCTGGTCTATTTCTTTACTCTCCTAGTCTCCTTCTCTTGTTCTGATAATATTTGATTTCTTATTTGCTGGAAGCTACCCATCATTTCAAGGACCTTAAACTTTTTATATCATAACATTATCTCATCATCTCAGTATATATAAAAGGATGGCTCATGAACTTTAAATAATGATTACCCATTGGATGAAATTAGTCAATGGTTTAGACAGATCTGTCTCAAGTTTTGATTCAGTAATCAAATAATGGGCTCAGTATTTATCAGTGTATTTTAAAATCGAGTCTTTTTTAACTGCATAAAATTTTGATTTAATATATATGCATAGCGTGTTAGTTTTCAAGGTCCCGATATTTAAAATGCAATAAAAAAGAAAAACAAAACAAAAAATATGTGATTAAAACGATTCGTTTTTTCTGAAAAATTATTAGGTGGGTTGTCAAAGAATCTTTGCTTATGTGAGCCATTTTGTTATATGCTTATTTAATTCTTCTTTTTTGGGGGAAAGCAATGGTTGGAATGAAATCAAAGCCAATGAATAAGGAAGGAAGGAGGCATAAAATTATAGTTTAAATAAATATAATGGGGACAAAAAAGGGTTAAGGTATCTAATCCTTTGGCTTGCTTTGTGGATTCCACTTCTCCAATTCCTTTTCTTCAGACTTCTTCTCTCAGACATGTTCTCTCTCTACTCTCCTTTCCCCCATTTCTCATGGCTTTGGTTAATTGTGACATTATCAAACATTTTAGAAGCTAGGGGTGATATTTAAACATTTCATGTAGGTATCAGAAAACTATTGAACATATAAATATCATCTATAAAAGGACTTACTTTGATTTTCTATCAGAGGGATGACTATCTGCATATGATTAGATGATTTCCTATTTTGTAAAAATTGCTCTTTCGTTGTGCTTATTTCCTAAATTGCTCTAAATATCATCTATAAAAGGCTTGGGCTTGGGCTTGGGCATGGGCTTGGGCGGGTACGGGGCAGGAATTAAAAATTTACTCGCAGACGGCGATGGAAATGAAAACTATACCCGGTAACAAGGGTGGACCGGGGATAAACGGAGTTTTTTTAAGCGGGTACGGGGATGCAAACTACACCCCCCGCCCCCGCTTCGATCTACTGACATCCCTAGCTGAATCATGCGGCAATTGCAATTGCGCAATCATATTCAGCAAATGTTTAGCACATGTTTAGCACAATGTGGGGAGTTACAGAACCCCCACAATCCTTGAGAGTGAATCTGATTGGTTTTTGTAACCCTAGCAGTTGGGGATGTCAACTACATGGCTGAGTTGGACAAAGTTGGTTAGCGCCAACATTACCTAGGCGGTTGAACTTTGTAACTACCATTGTATGCTTTAAATACACATGTTGAGGTCTTTAGTAAACCAAGAGAGTTTGGGCACATTTTGTAAACAGACTCCTAGCCGGAATCCTTTAAGCTTGTCGAGAAGTAAAAAAGTTTGCTCATTGGCCTATCATCTTGTGTTGTGTGCCTGCTGTGTTTTGATTCTTGCCCATATTTTGTTCGACAAAGTGCTTCAGTAAGCAATTGTGCGAGTTTAGCTGAGACTGAGTGTTGGATCTCAGTCCCACCACAAGGCAAAAATTTGAGTGAAATTTGACCCCCGTGACACTAAGAATAAGAGGTATACTAGAAAATATAAAGAAAATGGAAGAGTAAGTAGGACTTTCGATGTGGACGTGTCATGACATCCCACGTGCACCTATAATAGGAGCACTTCAATCCCAATTGGAAGGTGAAGGATGGCCTTTACCAGAAGCATCAAATAGAAGCCTCAAGAGGCGAGCCAAGCCGATGTAGCCATGGGCTTAAGTTAAGTGTGACTATTTTAATTTAAGGCAGTAAAAATTGTTTTCATGTAAAGTTAATGAGCTGCCCGGATTTGTGCAAACCATCCGATTTAAATGAGTTTAATGAAAATTGATCAATTTGCCCACGTTTTAGGTTAGTTAAGTGTTTAAGTGATCTAATTCATAGACCACCCCGACTTAGGTACTGACTGACATGTTTACGGAGTTGACCTGTTGGGCTAGACCGAGTTTAATAACACTGGTACTCGAGTTGAAGGTCAGGTTTGGGTTGGGCTCGGGTTAAAAGTTACATAACTTAGGTTGACCTCTCAACCCATTTGACCCGCCCAAGTTACCCTCTAGTTTGCTTGATGAGGAATGTAAGAGTTGGATAAAATCTAGAATGTGATTTTAGCATTCATTTTGTATTATTAATTTAGGAGGTTATATGTTTGTGTAACAGAGACTACCCTTGAGGTAATCCACCCTTACACCCGTCCATTGTTGTTTCAAAAATACAGGTAATCACCTATTAGAGTTTGCTCGATGACAAGACTAATGACAATTTACCATCTTAAAGGATCAAAATTTCATTTCGGTGCATTGTTTCGATTACCTAAGAAATGGAAACGTTTCGACATGTTTTCGACCCATTTCGAAAACATACTGAAAAAAATAAAAAAAATTAAGAATTACTTTTTTAAAACACTGGTCGAAATATACCAAAATATCTTAAAGCATTCTAAAATTATTGTGCAAAAGCATTGAAATATAACAATATTTCGAAACATTATGGAACATCTCGAAGTATTAGAATTTCGATTTCATCACTGATTCGTTTCGGTCTCCATAGAAACGGAAACGTTTCGGATGTTTCGACCGTTTCGAAACGATATTTTGATCATTGAGCTTACCATGTCTTTCTTGTAAATCTAATGAAAATTGATCAAAATAAAATTTTAATATCTGAGAGATGGAGAGAAAAAGAGAAGAGGGAGTAGCATGGACCCCTTTCCCCACCCCCCAAAAAAAAAAAATTATTGAAAAAATTCCTCCACTTACATCACCTCCTCAAAACCCTTCCTAGCAGATCCCCACCCAACCCCTTCTCTCCGACACCCCCAACACCAAAAAAACTCCCAAACCCTCCCCCCCCAAAAAAAAACCACCCCCAGAACCTCCTCTCTACCAAATTCTCTTACTTTCTCCCTCTACCAAATATACTCTATGTTCTAATTTTGGTTGACCTTGGTACTATTTCTTAGTATTTGGTGCTTGCTTGGGTTTGGAGGGTGGGGGTATTGAGTGGGTGGAGTTTTCTGATGTGGTGAACTTCGAGTGATGGGGATGGGGTTAATTTGATGAGAGGTTCCCAATTGTTAGGTTCCTTATTTTCAACTCTTATCGTTAGTTTTTAATTTTTATGATTTTCAGTTGTGAAGTAAACAAGATGATTGAGTTGGATAATATAAGTTCAATCGGCTTATTAGTTAAAAATGAGGTGCAAAATTAACTTAGGAATGACTAACGACAAATTAGGCACTTGAACAAAAACATTGAAGACATTAACGAAACCTGGCCAATGACCAAAAGGTTGACTAATGGGCTGGGGTTTGACTGTTACCAGTCCCCAAACCTCAAGGGAGGACTGTTTAGAAAACCAAGGGGAACACAGTGCAATTATGATTACCTTAAGGGTAGTTTGTGTAATTCACCCCAAAAATGGGACTTCCTACAAATAGGCTATGCTGTGATGATATCAGATTTGCACTATTATCAAATTGAATTTGAGTCTCTCTCTACTATAATGTAACTCTTTTCTTCTCTAATTTGTTCTCCTCTCGACTTTCTTTTGGGCAAACTGCAAAGTTACAACAGGTAAGTAGTCGCAATGCTTATGCTCCGATGATGATGTCAAACAACAGGAGGAAGTAAAGTAGGATTAGAGTTTTGCTCGATACCAATTAGTGCAGGGCAGTACAAGCAGAGAGAAAATTAGAGAAAAGAGTTAGGAGAGTGAAAAGAGAGAGAGAAACAAGAACAGAAAAGAAAAAAGCACAGAACATAAATCACTTAAAAGCAAAATTTTTCTGAGATTCCAATAAGGGGTAGAATGAATATAACCACATTAAGGGATAAGTAAGTCATAACACAAAAAAACATACCATCTCAATTTCTTACCTCAAGTAACTCTTCCAATTTTGAAGTGGCCTCAAACTTAGCTTTCATCATTTCCTCCTGCAGAGTGTACATATGGAAAGAAATTGCACTTGCTCACCATACTCTAGCATACATAGAGGCAAGTATTTGAAGCCCTAATCTGCAAACAAACCTCAGCAACTTGAAGAGCACGTTCCGTTTTACGAATCTTAGACTTCTGTTCATCGTTGATCTTTTGAAGCTGCAAAAAGGGAAACCAATAGCAAAATATAATTAATGCAAAAAATGATATTATCACCCTCAAATGGTGACATCTTTCAATCAATTTTCATAACAAATCTGACATAAATAGACAGAAAAACTCTATAATTTGAACAAAATGAGAAACCATGCTGACTAACGTTCTCTTCGATATCAATAAAAGTTACTTGTATAGAGACCTGGCTTCAAGCTATTAGACCACTTAACTAACCGGTATCTACTGCACTTAAGACAGAAATTTGCACATATCACCTACAAGTTCTTGTTTCTACATGATAGGTCTAGAACCCTAGGTTTGCCAAAAACTTGTTTGAATTGTAATATTTTGAGCCAGTCTCGGAGCATTCGATACTGAAGAAGTAACGCCATGAAACTTGGTGGGAAAGATGAGCTGAAGAATCCATGATTTTCAAGTGACTTTCCTGAACTCATTTGATCATTTCTCTTAAAATGAGGCGTTTAGACATGAGACTGGTTGAATTTGAAGAGACTTATTAAGCTTTCCAACAAAGGTCATTAGGGTAAAACAAAGTTCAGATAAAGTAATGTTCGTTTGAGGCAAGGCAAGTCGCACCTGAAGCGCCTCAATCAGCTTGAGGCAAAGAGACGTCATTAAGGCGCAGTTGAGGTGCATGAATCAAGATTAAGCCCAAGGCGCATGAGATGTGGGCTTTTTCTACCTTCTGTGATACGTCTTTGACCATTGATATATTAACGATAATTGGAATATTTGATTGCAACTATGCCTAATACCGTATTAGAACTCCAAGTATAATATTCCAGAAATCAAACCTACTTTTCTAATAACTAAAACTTTCTTTTGTCCAAGTAGCCCTTAATACTATGAAATTAGTGATTGGTTGTAAGAAACATAATGTTGTAGCTCTACTATAGTCTCCCTCACTCTTCTTATTTTTATTTCTGGCTCTGTTAGGAATCTTTTTACAATTTTTTAATAAATTTGATGTAAAATTGGTTATAGTTAGGTTTAGAGAATGGAGAAAAACAATATGGGAGAGGCAAAGAGTAATCAAAAACATGACCTACCTCTCATTCCCAACTTATATTTATAGTTACGTAAGAAAACATAAAAGACTAGTATATCCTCATATATGTATACTTATTACAATCATATAAAATATAATAGTACTCTCAACACTTCCTCACAAGTTGGAGTATATATACTATATAATCAAAGCTTAGGACAAATCACTATAAGACGAGGATGATTCAATTCTTTGGTGAACATATCTACAAACTGATCTTCAGATTTCACAAATGGTGTTGTAATATCTCCATCTAGTATCTTGTCTCGAATAAAGTGACAGTTACTTTTAATATATTTGGTTCTCTTGTGTAATACGGGATTAGCAACAATATAGAGACTTGTCTAATTGTCGCAAAAGCTACAAGAGACGTTGGACTAGAAAACCAATCTCCTAAATAAAGTGTTGTAATCATGTCAACTCACTAGTAGTATGTGTCATCGCCCTATACTCAACCTTTGCACTGGACTCAAGGATCAAAAATATCGTTTTGAAGTACCATTTCGGTCAGCTAAAAAACAAAAACATTTCAGAAACACAATAGAAATGCAGAAAAAATATGGAAACACGTAAAAACATAAATGCAATCTATTTATTTATAAAGATAAGCTAAATAATTGATTAATTCAACATAGTTATTGGGTTAACATCCATTTATATAAGAATAAATTTAAATTGGAGGAAAAATTCACATGTATAACACTTTTAAATTAAAATATTATCCAATTAATAATACTATTTTATCATACTACTAATTTAGTAATTAATAATACTAACACTTCATGCAGCATGTTATTATAATATTAATTTGTCCAGCATATTATTATAATACTAATTTATTAATTTAAATTGCGTCTTCAAATTAATAAATAATATTATTTAATTAATATTAAAATCATTGTATACACAATTTGTACACACATAAAGATTTAATTCTAGATATTTAACAAATAAGGTATAATTAATAAAAATGACTTGCAGATATTTAATATACCAATTTAACAAATAATAATAACATAAAGAAATAATTACAAAAAAAAATTAACGAAGGGTATTATATGAAATTAATGGTACTTATGTATACTTAAAAATTAAAAGTTATAATGTAGTGGGATATTAAATATAATTTTTCATACTTAAAACAAAAAAATAAAAAAACGCCAGAAGACTCAAAGACTCAGTCATGACCCTCTTTTACCCACGAAGTCACGAATACAGACAGAGACAGAGAGAAGAGAGAAAGGCGATGGCGATGCCAAAGAGAGAGAGAGAAGAAAAAGAAGAACATACCTTGTAGCTCGTGGCTCGTGGGTCACAGCGATAAAGATCTAAGTTCCAAGCCCTAGATTTGCATAGAGGGAAACTAGATATGCTCAAATCTAGACCCAAGGAGGTAAGCTACTGAACTCTTCTCCTTCAATTTTTGTTGTATAGTCTGTATCTATGTCTTTCTCTCTCTCTCTCCGATTTCTTCTGGGTATGCTCTCTCTCTTCTCTCTGCATTTTTTTTTTTTTTTTTTTTTTTTGCTTGGAAGACCTAGACCTAATTTGTAAAAAAATCTAAAATTGCTATGTACATGTGATCTCTGTTATTTCCCCTTTTTTGTTTTGGCTTAGAGGACTTTGGCTTGGAGTGTTGTGAATGTATACACTATTTCAACCAAAACAGTCTGACACAGTGACGTTTCGACCGAAATTTTAAAATTTTGGGATTTAAACCATGTTTCGTATCGGTGTATTGAAAATCCGAAACATTTCGGACGAATCAACACGACATTTCGGACGAATCAACACGACATTTTGATACTTGACTGGACTGTACTACTACTGTTTGCTTTTTACTTTTCCATGTCATAACGTTACCTCTCAAGAAAGTATAATGTCCAGTAGTTGATGTTCGATCCGAGGAAGAGCCAGCTCAATTAGCATCTGTAAACCCTTCCACTCTAAGATAGTCATTAACTCGATATAACAACCCAAGTCCAAGAGTACATTTAAGGGATTGAATAATGCGGATGACTCCATCCCAATGTGGTGTTCTCAGACATCTCATAAACTAGCTCCCAACACTAACTGCATATATAATATCCAGTTAAGTAATAATGAGGTAATTTAGTTTACCAATCAACCTACAATGCCAACATGAATTTTCATATAATGCACCATTCACCATCAACAGATTCTAGTTCGGGTCCATAAGAACATCAATTGATCTACCACCTAATAAACCTACTTTCACTAACATGTTAAGTACATATTTTCGCTAAGATAAACAAATGCTCTTCTTAGACCTAATAACTTCAATACCTAAGAAGTACCTAAGTTTACCTAGGTCTTTCTTATGAAATCGACCCGAAAGACTTTCAACTTTGCAATACCATCAGAATCATCACCATTAATTACAATATCATCCACATATACAATCAATATAACGTATCCAGAATTAGTATGTTTACGAAAAATGTAGTCATCTATTTGACATCTAAGAAGACTAAACTCTAAAATTGCCTCTTAAAACTTCACCCACGATGACTGCTTTAAACCATACAAAAATTTCTTTAGCCAAAAAACACTCTTGAGGAAATCACTGTGAATGAAGGAACTTTTCACATCTAACTGAAACAAAAGCCAATGAAGATTAGCAACCAAAGAAATCATTATATGAACAAAAGAAATTTTGATAATAGAAAAAAATATTTCCTCATAATCAATGTCATAGGTTTGAGTAAATCCCTTGGCAACAAAATCAGGCCTTAAGACATTCAACAGAACCATCAGGATTAAATTTGACTGTATACATCCACTTATAGCCAACAATCTTTTTATTAGGAGGTAGCAAGGGAACAAGATCCCAAGTCTCATTATGATGTAAGGCATTAATCTCCACTTTCATAGCTTTCTCTAACCCAGATCAGATAACGCACCCTTAATGTCTAGGAATAGAAACAGTAGACAGCTGAGATATAAACCAACAAAAAGCATAAGACAAGGTATCATAAGATACAAAATTAGTAATAGGAGGCTTAGTAACACAAGACCTTGTACCTTTACGAAGAACAATGAATAAAGAGAAAGAAGTATCTAGAAGACAAGGATCAAAAGACAACAAGGAGGATGATAAGGCACCATAGTCGCTGATCGTGGACGACGAGAATATACACGAAACGGAACAAAGGAGGACCGGAATGGTAAAGGTGGTGGTAGTACAATAGATAGTGGTATGTGAGGGGGAGATAAAAAAGGGGAGAGGGAAAAAGGGTGAGAGGGAGTTAAAAAATCTGCAATGTGAGATTAATTAAGATAGAGGAGGGGGGAGATAAGGGAGGGCGTGTAAGAATTTCCGGATGAAGTTTGTGAGTTGGAATGTGCGGGGGTTAAGGAATTGGAGGAAGAGGAAGATGACATAGGAGGTGATTTCAAGAACCTTTCCGATGTTGTTATGCTTTAGGAGACATAATTAAAGAGATTAGATGGTGTTTGGATTAAGAGTTTTCAAAAGTCTAGGTTTAAGGATCGGGCTTTTCTCCCCTCATGTGGATCCTTGGGGGGAATTGTTGTAATATGGGATACTAGATTTTCTATGAGAATAGATTGTGTCCTTGGTTCTTTTTCTGTGTCGGTCCTACTTGAGTTTAAGGGTTGAAGGGAATGGTGGGTCACTTCAGTCTATAGTCCTAATCGTTCTAGAATTATACAATCTTTTTGGGATGAGTTATATGACTTGTTTGGGTAATATAGGCCAAGATGGTGCATATGGGGAGACTTTAATGTCATTAGAAACTCAAATGAGAAGTTGGGGTCTTGGGTGACAACGAGTAAAGGAAAATTTTTTACCTTTATAAGTGAGTGAATTGAGGAACACTATTTATGCAATGCTCAATTTACATGGTCTGGGAGCTCAAATAATCCTATTGCTACACGAATAGACAGATTCCTTTTCCATAGTGAGTGGGAAGATGTTTTTCCAAAATGTGGTACAAAAGGTGATTTCTAGAATGGTGTCTAATCATTTCCCTATTGTTCTCGAGTCCAATCCAATTAAGTGGGGGCCTACACCATGACGGTCTCCATTAAGACTTCCAATGGTGAATGTAACTGGACATCTCTTATCAACTTTCAGCTTGGTATTCTAAAAAAATAACCCTTTAGATCCTCATAATAGAAAACAATCCCTTGATGCTGCATCATTCACAGTCTTATCCACATGCACTATTATAGGTGAAGAAAGCATATAAACTGATGGAGACAAAGTAACAACTCCATCTGCAGTGATACCCTTTGAATTTTGTTTAACTTCATGTGTAAGAACATCCTTTGAAATCAATTTATCAAAAGCAATTGATGTATAATGACGAAAACTTTGAGGCTCATTAACAGTATCTAATTTCAACTCATCATTCAATTAAATTAGAGCTTGTGGTTGTGGAGGAACTTCTTGGGACAGAACTTGTACAACTACTTGTTGATGATTGATGGGTGAAGAAGTTGAATCAAAATCTACCTTGTCCGCAAGGTTCTTATTTGGGAGCTTAACTCCAAAAATGAAAGCCAACATGTATACACCTTC